TTCCCCACAAATTAGCAACGCTGGATACAATAGTCGTAACTCGCGTTCGGGACGGTCATGGCCGACATTTGTTTGTTGACAAATAAATAAACATTGTGAAGTAATTCCGTGTTGTGAAATGATAAAAACAATTGAAATGAGCGCGTAAACTACTGTCCTTCAATGTTGTGTATGTGTATTATGCCGTCTATCAATAGAATACAGTGAAATCATTGTGTGAAATGTGGTTGGCGTGAAGAAATAACCTCGATTTTGTAATGAAATTTTGTGTTTTGAAAAGCTTTTTATTGCATAATACGCTCACTATTCTATACCTTTATACAGGTTTTGTAATACTGTCAAAAGAAAAAATCGCTTAGAAACATCGCGTTTTGTAGACAATCATAAAAACTTCATAGGAGTGAAAGTTCTTCTACAAGATCAACTAACCTAAAGCAAGTAAAACTAATCTTTTCGTATTCTAAAGTTTTTCTATAGATAAAGCTATAGACAAAATGCTCCCAACTGTGTTTTGAAAAAGCTTTAAACTCTTATCGCCATTTTTATTTTTAAAAGAATGACAATGAAGTAGCCGAGAAAAATTTATTTTCTTTTTAAAAAGTAAACCTAAATTGAAATTAGCTTGAAGAAGCCTAGAACTTCTTGGAAATGGTTTGTTTTATGAGTTATTTCGTATATTTAAGCTTTCTATAAATATTTAAAACCGAAAATCGGTAACTGTATTTTTATTGATTTTATATTTTATACATAATTAAATTAATTATACATAATTAAATTTATAAATAAAAGTAATGCGCTCGCTAAATTTTAAATATAATTTAGCGAGCGCATTACTTTTATGGCAGGTTTTACATCACTTTTCACAATGTATTTAAAGTCGCACGTCAATTTGCGCTTTCTAACCGATTAAACATTGCGCGCAAAAGTCAGAAATATTATATCTAATTTCACCATGTTGCAATTTATATAGTTTATATTTTGTAAGCCATTAATCTTGAAATCTATTAGTATCAAGAGAGTTGCGTCTTACGTTTGTAACACCTTAATATTTTGGTTTTAAAATAGCATTACTAAGAAAACTATCATAGGCTATAAATTATCTAAAAACTGTTTACAAGACTAATTAAAGACTGTCTACATTCTACAAATGGTCTTGTAGCATTCTAGAAGGGTTACTTGAGAAAAAAGATAAGAATCACGCTTAACACTACCTACGGACAGTTTCTCAAAGCACTCTTGTGATCTACAGTTAAAGTTGTGCTCACTTTTACTTTAAATTATCTATGCATCTAGTTCATACACTTGTCTTCTTCGTAGGCATGGTAGCCCAATGCTTTGACATATTGCCTTACAAGCTGAGGCTGTGGGTTAGAATCCAGTCTTGTACCTCTGAATTTTTCGGAATTTATGTGCGAAATCTAATTTATAGTTTACTTTTTTTAGTGTTTAGTTGAGCTTTTTGGTGAAGAAAAACATCGCGATGAAACCTGCACGTCAAAGAAAGTTCACAACCCTCCGAAAACGTGTGTAATCCATCAGCTTGCATTAGGCCAACGAGGCCTAAACCCTTAAAAGTGAGACATACGAACGAGTTGATGATGATATGGTTTATCGACAATCAAAGCCAACTACAGTTAAGAATACCATTCACAGCCCGCCGCACCAATGTTTGTGTACTTGGGAAAGTTAAGATAGAGAATAAAAAAAATAAAAAATAAAATTATTTATTGAATAACTTATTGGAATGACTAGAGACTGATTATGCGAATCAATGTAAAATATAACACATATACCTGAACTAGGAGAATCCTGTATGAGAGAATGCATAACGTCTGTCTTCAACGTACTTGCATCGTGTTGTACGCTACTTTGGCCACGTTGCTCGTAGAAATGCTGATAATCTGGAACGATTGATGGTGACAGGGAAAGTGAAAAGAAAGTTAACAACTTTGGCGCACAGGGGCGTGGCTCATTTTTGTATCCTGTTATCAATAATTGTAACCCAAGGTCAATGACCTCTGGTAAATTTGTAGTATCAAAAGTTAATAATAGGGGTTAAAGTATGAAATTGCCGATTTGTACTGAAAATC